GAGGATCAATGATGGCATGCTGTCCTCCTCCTGGCAGATGATGGACTAAATATGCAGAATGAGACATAATTTTGGAAATGGTCAAAATGGAGAATTGCCACCTTCCTTCTTACTGCAGAAAGTTAAATATCAAGTGATCCTAACAGATGTGAATGTAATAGGCATAATTTAAAGTCAGGAGACAGCATGGGATAGTTGGTAGGCTGCAAGCTGACCTTTGATCTCAGGAAGGCCCATGGTCAAGACCTGACTCAGGCCCATACTGGTGATGTGGCTTTGGGCAAGCAGTTTACGTCCTGGTGACCCAGGCAGTTCTTAACGACTGTGAGTTGCAGAGGAAGTGCCCATCTGAGGTGGAAAAAGACACCTCTTCCCCCTCACCCCACACCAGTGGTGAAATCACAGGCCTACTTTAAGTAATGACAATAGGGGCAGCTAGATGGCGCAGTAGATAGAGCACTGGCCCTGAAGCCAGGAGGATCTGAGTTCAAGTGCGGCCTCAGACCAAACACTTGGCGCTTACTAGCTGTGTGACCCTGGGCAAGTCACTTAACCCCCGTTGCCTAAATACGTAAAATAATGATAATAATAGCTGGCATTTATATAGTGATTTAAGGTTTGTAAAGCACTTCACAAATATCTTGTTTGAATCCTCAGAACAAACTGGGAGGTATGTATTATCCCCATTTTATAGATGAGAAAACCGAGGCATGTGGAGGTGGTCTGCCGTACCACCTAACTGCCAAAAGTTTATCCATTTATCTGTCTATGGCAAATGTCTTGCTAAATGCCCAGATTTTATGGGCTGATTTAATTAAACTTACTAATAATAGGTAACACCTCTAAAGCGCTTTTTGGAGGGACCTCTTGGTGAGGAGCTTCCACTGCCAATGTAGATTGGTCCTTTCTCTGTCATCGACTTAAAAAGTAGCCTGTACACTAAAAATTCAAAAAACAACAATAAAGCAAGTTACCATTATATAGTATTTTAAGGTTTGTGAAGTGCTTTACAATTATCTCATTCTCACAACAACCCTGGGAGGTAAGTGCTTTTATTGTCACCCTTTTACAGTTGAGGAAACTGAGGCAAACAGGGTGACTGGTCCAAGGTCACCCAGCTAGGAAGCGTCTTGAGGCCAAATTTGGACTCAGAGCTTCCTGACTCCAGGCCCAGTGCTTTGTGCACTATTACCACATTGCCAGTATATATGGCAGGGGACTTGAATCAGAGTCCTCCTGACTCTGAGGCTGGTTTTCTATCCATGCCACATATCCAATCTGCTGTCAAGTGCTGTCGTGTCTACCTTTATATCTCCCATGTAAGTCCTCTTCTGTTCACTCACACGCCCTGGTACATGTCCCTTATTAGTGTCTAGGAAGTGCAGTCCGCCTTGGAGGAGCACAGCGGAGCCTAGTGAGCCCAGGAAAGTCTTCAGAAGCTGCCCTGACCTGTCACAAGTGAAGCAGGATGGCAGCCTAGATGTCCTGAAAGCAAGGGACTTGACTCTCCATTAGACAACCCTACCACTTGGCAGTAAACTTGGTGGGGCCAACACTTTATAGCACCCATCTTTCTGTGAGGGATGCGTTCCTGACTCCACAGGACCTACCACTTCCTTCCCCAGTACCTTCAACTTCCTTTTACATCTGGTCTTCCCCCACTAGATTGTAAGCTACTTGGGGACAGAAACTGTCTTTCTTTCAGCTTGTAATTGTATCCTTAGAGCATAGCATAGTGTCTGGTACGTAGTAAGCACTAAAGAAATGCTTGTTGACTGACAACCACTTTAAATTTGAGCTCGCTCAGGGTCTGAAGTGATAGAGGGAAGTGTACCTGGTTGGGAGGCAAAAAAGGAAGAGAATGGGCATGTTCATACTTTTATTGATTTTCATTCATGATATTGGGGCAATTGTTATTTAGGACATAGAGGAAATATTAACAGCCATTGGGTGATTGATATGGGGGTGGGGGGCTAAAAATGTACCTGAAAGTGGGCTTGAACTGATAGCATTAGAATCAGCCTGTTGGCTTCTGGGTTCTAGGTACCCCTAGAACCAGCCACTCTGCAGAGCCTTGACATATTGGTGTTTGTGTGACCTAAGAAAGTCACAAATCCCACTGGCTATTTCAAGTGCTTAGCACAGTGCCTGGTACATAGGAAGTATGCAATGCATTCTTGCTGGTTGACTGACTGACTGAAGCCAGAGCATTTTTCCTAGGCCGGTCACTTCGAGTCTCTGGGCCTCTGCTTCCTCATCTATAACATGAATGGACTTGATGGAGCTCTCAGGTCACTTCCAGCAGTACTTCGTCAGAAAGAACAAAATTGCTGCCTTATGCTCGTATGGCATTTTGTGTAAAAAATACTGGCTTTGGAGTCAGAAGACCTGGGCTCAAATCCTGCCCCTCTTGGGAAAGCACCTCACTTCCATGGACCTCAGTTTCTTCAACTGTGAAATGGGATGGATTGGACTGGGGAGTTTGTGATGGTCCTCTCCAGCACTGGTCCTTGGTCCCTCTGGTCATACTTTCCTTATTGGGCCTATGCATTGTTCCAATCCGAAAGACTTATGCACTGGCCAATTGAGAGGCATAAGTTTAGAAAGGCCCATCAACAAAAGCTGGACCACCAAGTGATGAATATTTTTTGTAACTCACAGAACCATCTACTAAGTCATCGAAGACCTGAGATTTGCGTCAGAGATGGGTGTAGCCATACCAAGGAAGTTGCAGATCTGCCAAATAACTACCTGGTGAGGAATTAGCCACTAGTTAAACCATGATTATGTGTAGCCTCAGATTTTAGAATGCGCACCTTGTTAGCCTGTCTTCAACCTCATTCCTCAATGCTAGTGTTGTTGCTTAAGGGGGAGCAATAGATGGAACCATGGGGGCTCTTATAAGAGTCTCTTCAAGTCTATATGGCCATATGGAGCGAGGTAGCCCTAAATTTTCCATATTGCTGGTTTCATTCAGGTCACTGGCCATTTACTTCTTTCAAAACCATGTTTCCTAGAAACTAAAAAAAATTTTTTTTTTTTTTTGCAGAGCCTTTATGTACCCAAGTAAACAAGTATTAGAAGTTTACTACTCTGTGAGGTGTAGAAGATAGTAGTATGTTAAAAAAAAAAAAAACTAGTGCCTGCCCTCCACAAGCTTATAAGCTACTTGGGAGACACTCACTAGGAGAGGGATGAGCGGTGCATCAGGGAAGGAGTCACTAGAATGTGGAACTTGTGGTGTTCCCACCTGGTCGCCTTCATGTGGGACTCTGACTTCTCCCTCACTCCCCCAGGAACCTCATCATTGTGAAGATTCATCATGCTGCAAGACAGAATCAGTTCCGATACTCACCTCATCATTACCCTCTTCTGCTCTGACTGGAGGCTGGATTTATGAACTCAACAGCCATTTAAGGAAGGGGCATGCATCTGCTATGTGCCAGAAATGTGCTGAGTACTTTCACAAATATCCCACTGGATCCTCACAACCCTGCAAGATAGGTCCTATTATTATCATCTCCATTTTACATCTGAGGAAACTGAGATAAAACACGTTAGGTGACTTGTGCATGGTCATACAGCCAGTATGCTTCTGAGGCTGGATTTGAACTCGGATCTTCTTGACTCCAGGCTCATTGTTCTATCTACTCTGCACAAATCTCATTTTCCACCTGATTGCAATACCAAATTCCTTTTGAACTTCATGCATTTTGGACTCTCTTTCCTCCACTACACTTTTCAGTTTTCTTTTGGGTGCCATTTTCTCCCATTAGATTGAAAATTCCTTCAGGGCAGAGACTGCCTTTCTTTTTTATTTTTTTAAAATTAAACATTAATTTTTAGTTTTCAATATTCACTTCCATAAATTTTGAGTTTCAAATTTTCTCACCCTCCCTCTCCTCCCTCCCTCGCCAAGATGGTGTGCAACATGATATAAATTCGACTTACATGCTCATATTAAGCATATTTTCACATTAGTCATGATGTAAAGAATTGGAACCAATGGGAGGAGCCGTGAGAAAGAAGACTCAGAACAAAACAAAACAGCAAGAGAAAAAGAGAGCAAACAGCATACTTCCATCGGCACTCAGATTCCATAGTTCTTTCTCTGGATGTGGATAGCCTTTTCTGTGGTGAGCCTCTTGGAGTTGTCTTAGATCCTTGCATTGCTGAGAAGAGCCAAGTCTATCAAAGTCAGAGACTGCCTTCCTTTTTTCACATTTGTATCACCAGCTCTGGCACGGCACTTAAGAAATGTTTATTGACTACTGACTTGTGTTGAGCTTTAAAGGAATTCAAAGAGATGGAGGCAGGGAGGGACTACATTTCAGGTACAAAGGATGGCCTATCCAAGGCAGAGGCACAGTGTATGAGTATATCTATGATACATCCAGTTTGGCGGGTGACTAGAGTACTTTTTTTCTTTTGCTTTTTTGGTGAGGCGATAGGGGTTAAGTGACTTGCCCAGGGTCACACAGCTAGTAAGTGTTAAGTGCCTGAGGAGGGATTTGAACTCAGGTCTTCCTGACTCCAAGGTCAGAGCTCTATTCACTGCACCACCTAGCTGCCCCCTGACTAGAGTATTTATGTAGGGGTTTTATGAATGATAAGCCTAGAAACAGGCTGGAGGTGGTTTTTGAAGGGCTTCAAATTCAAATATAATTTTATTCTAAAGACTATAGTCTTAATATATATATTATATATATATATATATATATATAATTTACTTATATTTATTTTATATATATATACATATATATATATGTATATATATTTATATGTTTATATATAGGGAGCCACTGGGACTCTGAACAAAGGAGTTGTTCAGAACTGGCCAGAACCCAGCTTTAGGAAAAGCAACAGTGTGGGTGTGGATTGGAGAGGGGAGAAATAGGGGTCAGACTGAATGGTCTAAGTTAAGAAGGCTGATGGCTGTGTGAGTAGAGAAAAGAAGACAGAGATGGCAGAGGTTATGAAGGTAGAATTGACAAGGCTTGACAATGGATGTGGGAGAAGAGACAGAGACAGAGAGAAGGAAAGACACAGGCAGAGAGAGAGAGAGAGAGTCAAGAGTGACCCAAGGTTGTGACCCTGGATGACTGGAAGGATGGTAGAGATTTCAGTAGGAATAGGGAAATTGAGAAGCTGGGTTTGGGGAAAGAATAATCAATTCTTGTTTTGAACAGGCTGAATTTGAAATTTCTATAGGATATCCACTTGGAAATATCCAATAGACAGTTGATGACCTGGGATGAGAGCTCAGGAGACTAAGAATACATATATTGATCTGAAAGTTATCTGTACATATGGTGATTGAACTCATGGGAACTGATGATGTCATCAAAAGAAAGGCTGTAGAGAGAGAAAAGATGAGGGCCTGTGATAGGGCCTTGGGAATCCCCATGGTCAGGGGCCAAATCACAGGTGGCAAAAGAGACTGAGGAGGAGGGGCCTGACGGAAAGTGTTGTCAGAAAGAAAAAGACAGAGGCTGCAGTCAGGGCAAGGGTAATCAACGGTGTCACATCCTGCCCAGAGACCAAGAAGGAGGAAGACAGAAAAAGCCATAAGATGCAGCAGTGATGCTAAATGGGAAAATGTCCAGTTGGTTTTCCCCTTCCCCAGCTTCAGTGACCCTGAATCTCCGGTCTGGAGCGGGGGCCTCCAGGGGTGGGAAGGAGGAGGCGCTCCTAGAGTAAGCAGCATCCCAGAGAGTCTGGGAGAGGGTCCATTAGAGGGCCTGAGCCTGCAGGATGACCACCATCAGCAGATGCACTTCTTCCTTATTCTGATACCTGGAGGAAAAATAAGAACAAGAAGAAGATGATGACCTCCAGGGACCTGGGATACCTGCCTTCCATGCCAGCAGACTCCATACCCTACTGCAGAAATAAGACTGCAGGCATATTAGAAGGTTCACAGGCATACCCCCCATACTCCCCTCTGTGTACCTCCTTGGAGTTCTTGGAAGCTGCCCAAAGTGGCTTTTACAAGGGCTGATTTTGAAAACTATCTAGGCTTGGGCAGTGGATAGAGCACTGGCCCTGAAGTCAGGAGGACCTGAGTTCAAATCTGGCCTCAGACCAAACACTTGACACTAGCTGTGTGACCCTGGGCAAGTCACTTAACCCCAATTGCCTAAAAACAAAAACAAACAAACAACAACAACAAAAAAAACACTATCTAGGCTGAAAACTAAATTCCTATGTTCCTTCCTTCCTTCCTTCCTCCCTCCTTCCCTCCCTCTCTTCTTTCTTTCCTTCCTTCCTTCCTTTCCTCACTCTGTAGTAAGCACCAGAAACTATAGTGCTGTAATAAGATCACAGATCCAGTGATCACGTAGTTGGAGTAAGATCCTGTATTGTAATTGTCTTTGTTGTTTATTAGGAAGGAAACTGGTTTCTTAACTACTGGGAGACATTAATCTTTAACATAGAAAAAAAAAGTAAAGATGAAACATTACTTTGGGATCTTTATATGCTACTAACACAGTCCCTTTTCCTAATCAGGTCAGAGGCCCCTTAAAAAAGGCCATGATTTTCTTTTTTCAAAACCCAAACCTAAGCACTGGGAGATTGGTTATAAAAGAAGTGTGGACCTAATTTCAAGAGCTTCTGTCATGAAAGAACAAATGTTTGCAAGCTGAGCTGCTTTTATAGAATTCTTAACTGCCTCTCAAGAGAGCCACACCTGGAGCTGGCTATTCTGAAGCAATCACCTCTGAAAGAGAAAACACTAAGCCCTCTTGCCATAATAGAAGTCAGTAAGTTTTCCTTTTGGAGCCTGAGGTATTTCCACTCCATTAGAAAAAATATATTCAGCCTAATAATGTCTCTCCTGCAGTATATTATTTACCTTTCTGATTTATCAAAGCCCCACTGGCAGTTTATCCCATCAAATCTGATTTCTTCTCTGGATCCGCTTACTCAAATTCAGCTCACTTTCTGATTAAAAAAAAAAAAAAAAGAAACTATATAAAAATGGAGTGGACCAGTTCAAGCTGTTCCATGAGTTCCCTCGAAAGCTGAATTCAATTTTCTTCCACACACTTTTTTAAAGCCGTTACTATTCAGGCACTGTGGCAAGTGCTGAAGATACAAAGACAAGAATAAAAAGTCCCTTTTAGAAGGCGCTTCCAGTCTGCTGGGGGGTAGGAGGGAGTGGAACAACATGGACCTTAATTAGGAGGAAGAAAGGGATGTTCAAGTCCTTACCTGCCTAGCTCATTTTGGTCTGGTGCCTCCCACCTAATCCCCCCAGTAGCATTGTAGCACTTCTATCTGTTCCCACTGGCCATCACTGAGAGGTCATGGAATCTGGCACCATCTCCCTGGGGCAGAAGGCTCCTCCCTTTTACACCAGTTCATTTATATGGATGAACATCTACTAGGTCTGCACTTCGGGCAACTCATAATACTCTACAGTGAAAAGATGATGCGTTGTAGGTAATTAAAGACCATCGGGGATCGGTCAAGGAAGCATAGCTCCAGCTGTAAGAGGTTACCCTCTGGTGCCATCTCTCTACCCTGGATATCTTGCCATCTGCCCTGTCTCCATTTCCTTCTCTCCATCTGAATAGCATGGCTAGACCTAGATCTCCAGAGACCAGGGAGTTAATCCACTCAACTTTGGGATGTGAGCCCGGCAATTAGCCATCCTGACAGGCAAGAGCAGACTGCCCATGTGCAATATGTCTAGCCAGCCCTAGATATCTTCATGTCTTCTCTGCCCTGTTCACATTCCCATTCCTCTTCCTATCTCTTGCTCTGGGAACAGCATTCAAATCAGTACTATCGTTGCTTTTGGAAAGGTCATGACAATTGATTAGCTTGTAGTTCCACCGATCATTCTTGTGACTCCTGAGACCAAATTCTCCCTGGCCACCACCACACTACTGTATGTGTGTGTGTGTATGTGTGTGTGTGTGTGTGTGTGTTTATACATGGATGCATATGTGCATACACACATATAAAATATATTTACTCAATTTGCACAGACACATGTATACTACATATAATATACATGTGTGTATATGTATACATGTTTGTGTGTGTGTGCACGCGCGTGTGTGTGTCTTCTGTATTAGAATATAAAATGATTGAAGGTAGATTCTTTCCCACTTTTTGTGTTTGTATCTCCAGTGCCTAACATAGTGCCTGGTCTTGTAGGTACTTAATAGAAGCTATTTCATTTTATCATTTCCTAAGTATTTACTAGGTGTGAGGCCCCTGAGCTAGGCACTGAGATTAAGCATATAAAGAATGAAACAAGCCCTCCTTTCAGGGAGCTTACAGTCTACAGGTGAGAAGGATTACAGAATGTCCACTTCTCCATTGGGAACCTCCAGGACCCACCCTTCTTGGCATGGGTTTCCATCTCCTCACTCAAATTGAAGAGGTCTCTCTCTTTTTTTTTTTTTTAACATAAAGCAGGATGGGTGGGGGTGAGGGGCTGAGCAAAATGGTTCATTTTCCCCTGACGGAATCTGTCCAGATTCTCATCTGCCTGGTGGCAAAGGTGTCCAAGAAGCCTTAGCTGGCAATAAGAACATCCCCAAAAGGATCTGGGCACCTGAAGCAGCCTTGCCTGGTTCATCAAAGAGATATTGCTGCCTCTCCTCAACCTTGATGCCATGAAGAAAATGAAGTCAGGCTGGGAGTTCTTTATGTGGTACAAGGGCACATAGAGAGAGAGAAAAAAAATTGCCCTCCTTAGAAATACAAGAGTGAGAACCTTCAAATCTACCCCCAAAAGACAGACATCGCTGTTGTGAATAATTTACCATTTACAGAAGAAAGAAAGTCTATTAACTTCGTTCAATTTGGATTATATTCTCTCCAGTGACCCCTTGAAGTGGGATTCTAGGAATCAAAGAGTCATTAATCCTATAATCTAAAATGTAATTAGGTCTGGAAGCCTTTTCCATGGGAAAGGTATATGATTTCTGTCTGCTGCCCCATGCATTCACCAATTCTTCCCAGGAAAGATGTGTGCTCGTTTCAAGCAGGGTGACCCAGGCTGGATTAGGGCCCCCAGAGGTGGGGGTTGAATAGGGAGAAAGATGACCTTGGATGCCTCATCATGGCCTGGAGGTGATCCTGGGTTCTCAGAAGTTGATTGGAAAGGCTTAGCAGGTGGATCCTCCGGATGGACTGTGTGGCCTTTGAGGATCAACCTAGCACAGAGGCTAGTGAGGGGCAATTAGTTTGGCGTACCGCAACTCATCAACCCATTTAGAATGGGGCCTGGAAGGAAAGACAACAACAATGACAACTTACATTTATATAACACTTTAAAGTTTCCAAAGCACTTTATATTACATTATCACATCAGATCCTCACAACCCCATTTTACATATAAGGAAACTGAGGCTCAGAGTTTCAACGTACTCACTGAGGGTCATATGGCTAGGAAAGTGTCCAAGGTGGGACTGGAATAACGGTCTTCTTGATGCCAAAATGATCGCTGTATCTGCTATGCCAGATGAGAGCACTGGAGCTGGAGTTGGGAAATTCGAGTTCAAATCCCTCTTCAGACGCTCAGGAGCTGTTTGACACTGGGCGACTCACTTAGCCTTGAAGAGTCTCTGTTTACTCCTCTGTAAATTGGGAATAATAATATTTGCATTAACTGCTTTACAGGTTTCTTGTGAGGCACCTTGTAGAAAGGAGTTTGGGGTGGTCATAGGTAAGGGTTGGAAAGGTGGTGATCTGTGAAAATTAGGCAGTGCCTGGAAGAATCTCCAGTGTATTTAAGTGTTTGGAACAGTCACCCTTTATACGAACCAATCCTGCCCCAGAGTCAATTCACTGGTTTACAAGAGTGTAGTGTTTCCGAACTCTCAAGTCACGCAATGCCATTGGGTGTAGAAGACTTGGGATATCCAGTGTAAAGCAAGGGCCTTGACTCAGGCTCTCTCCAAACTGATGATCCTGATCATGGGAGCATACTTGTCTGTCTTGGTGATCCGAGGCACTTGAACGATGCAGTTTCTGCAAAGCTATGCCTTGCCAAGTGCTGACTCAGGCCTCCTGATCTCACCTCCACAGCCAACAGGCAATTGGGGGACTTCCAAAGGTGTGGTGTTTCAGCCGCTCCCCAGAGTGGGACTTGTCCTTTGGCTCTTAGCTGAGCAACATGGGCCACGTCACGATGGCCTCCTTGACTGGTCACCACTAGGTTAGAAGAGGAAACGAGGAGAAACGGCTCACTCCTTCTCTCTGGGGACCCTCCACTGCTTCCTCTCCCTTCCAGTCTGAGGGCAGAGATTCCTCTCCCCTCACTCCCCAGAGGCAATGGAAACCACAAGCCTAGGGCAGCGAGGACTTGTTCTTGCCTATGGGAGCTCCAGTCCTCAGCCACCACCTTTGTTTGCTTTTTATTTTCGTCTCTCATCACAGGCCACTGACCAGGGATCCGAGAAATGGATACTTCCAGTCGAGGTGGTCCCCTGCCTCATGAGTCTGAGAGGGAAGGAGTTTCAGAGGCAAGTGCTGGTTGCTAAGCAGAAGGTGATTCCCCATAATAATCAATCCATCAATAAACATTCATTAAGCATTCACTGAGGCTGATGACTTTGTAAAGCTCTGCCTCGTTTAAATCCAGTTCAACCCAAGTGAAGACATCACCCTCGTGATGTCATTGGTCCTCTTCGGGAATGATGGAGGAAAACAGCTGTGTTCAAGGCATTAGTGCAAAGCTAAGCACGAGACTGCTTCTGGGAGAAGTACCAGCGTGAGGAGGCTACTGGAGACAAAGGATTAAGAAAGTGGAAGTCCTCCTCTGATTGATCAGGAGATCTGCACCTTATGTCTTCTTCTGGTCCTTCAAGTCAGAGATAATAATGATAACTAGTGTTTCTAGACAGCTTTAAAGTTTGCAAAGCACTTTAGAAATATCTGATCCTTACAATAACCCTGTAAAGTTAGGTGCTTGTTTTACAGATGAGGAAACTGAGGCAGGTTATGTGACTTGTCCAAGGGCACACAGCTACTATGTGTTTGAAATCAAATCTGGGGGCAGCTAGGTGGCGCAGTGGATGGAGCACTGGCCCTGAAGTCAGGAGGACCCGAGTTCAAATCCGGCCTCAGACCAAAATGCTTGGTACTTACTAGCTGTGTGACCCTGGGCAAGTCACTTAACCCAAATTGCCTTAAAGAAAAATGCTGATATTGAAATCAAATTTGAACTCAAGTCTTCTCAGTTCCAGGTCTAGTGATCCATCCACTGCACCACTTAGCAGCCTGAGATGAAAGTAAAACACTTTTTTCAGCAGTCCCCAAAAGTTGTCTTTTAGCTTCAGTAAAGTATAATGTGTTTAATGAATTGTTATTCGATGTTTATGTACGTGTCAATATGTGCTTATTTACCTTTTGTGTTTTAAGCATTTTTAAAGGTGAAGAAAAAACCCACTATTCTATTCATGTACACCTTTTCTAGAAGGGAATTTGTTAGACACTTTCTGAGGGGGAGAAAGGAGCCTACACTGAGCCATAGCTAAGCTTTCTCTTAGAGATTTCCCTAGAGGTATTCTGGGGTGTGGCAACAAGTCAGAGACAAAAACTGACCTTCTTTGGGGTAAGGACCCCTCAAGATCAACCTGGTTCTTGGGGGACCAGAGCCAGAACCCCTTGCAGGAAGGGTCATGATCCCATTCTCTCTCTCCTTCTCCCTTTCTCCCTGCTTTTCTCTCTTCCCTGTCATTTTCCCTATAGCTTTCTATCTTCTTTCTTTCTTCCTTTCTTTCTTTTTCTCTTTCCGTCTTTCTTTCTCTTTCTCCCTCCCTCTCTCCCTTTTTCTTTCTCCTTCTTTCTCCCTTCCTTCCTCCCTTCCTTCCTTCCTTCCTCCCTCCCTTCCTTCCTTCCTTCTTCTTTCTTTCTCTCTCTCACTCCTTCCCTCCCCCCTCTCTTCCTTCCTCTTTCTTTCTCTCTCTCCCTCCCTCCCATCTCTTCCTTTATTTTCTTTCTTTCTTTTTCTTACTTTGTCATCATCCAGACATCTTTCTCTTCCTCCATCTCTTCATTTGTTCTATTGCTGTATCCCTTCTTTCTTATAAACAATGATTATGTATAAAGTATTACATACATTGCAGTGCAAGATATCATTTTTGTTACCATGGTCAACAGCAAAGATGTTCTTTGAAAAGGTGCTCTTCAGAGGAGAGAGGCAGTGGGGCAGAAGTCAGTCAGCCAGTCAACAAACATTTATTAAATGCTTACTATATGTCACTCACAGTGCTAAGTGCTGGGAATATGACAAGCAAAAAAGATCAAGGAGCTTATGTTCTAATAGGGAAGACAACACTTAAAAGGGGGAGGGGAAGAAGGTACATGGCCTGAGGAGTGTGATGGAGATGTCCAAAGGAGGGAACTTTCCCTGATGGGAAATGAGGAAATGGCTAGCCCAGGAGCCCTCCCTAAATGAAGGTCCTAGGAGGAGCCCTCCACCCTCAGATCAGAGGGAGAGCCAGCCTTGAAGTCCCAAAGATCTTGTATCAAATGACAAACTTCATCATCATAGATGATGGTTGTGTGTTGTTGTTCAACTGTTTCAGTCATATCTGACTCTTCATGCCCCCATTTTGGGTTTTCCTGTCAAAGACAGTTTGCCATTTCCTTCTCCAGCTTATTTTACAGATGAGGAAACTGAGGCAAACAGGGTTAAGTAACTTGACCAGGGTCATGCAGCTAGTAAGTATTTGAGTGTCACATGAAAATGAGTATTCCCTGGGGCAGCCAGGTGGTGCAGTGGATACAGCTCTGGCCTTGGAGTCAGGAGGACCAGAGTTCAAATCTGTCCTCAGACACTTATTAGCTGTGTGACCCTGGGCAAGTCACTTAACCCCAATTGCCTCACCAAAAAGCAAAAACAGAAATAAAAAAAAGCAGACTTCAGAAAAACCTGGAAAGACTTGTATGAACTGAGGCTGAGTGAAATGAGCAGAACCAGGAGAACATTGTATACAGTAACAGCCACGCTGTGCGATGACTAACTTTGATAGACTTAACTCTTCTCAGCAATGCAAGGATCTAAGACATCTCCAAAAGTCTCATGATGGAAAATGCTATCCACATCCAGAGAAAGAACTATGGAGTTTGAATACAGATCGAAGCATACCATTAGCTCTTTTTTTTTTTCTTCCATTTTGTTTCCTCTTTCTTGGGGTTCCTCCTATTGGTTCTAATTCTTCTTTACAACATGACTAATGTGAAAATATGTTTAATAGGAATGTGTATGTATAGCTTATATCAGATTGCATGGCATCTTGGGGAGGGAGGTGGGGAAGGAGGGGGAGAAAATTTAAAACTCAAAAGCTTATGGGAGTGATTGTTGAAAACTAAAAATAATATAATTAATTTTAAAGAAAAAGAAAGAAAGAAAGAAAATGAGTCTTTCTGACTCCAGGCCAGGTGCTTTATCCACTGAGCTGCCTTAGCTGCCCCTAATGGATGTGTGACTCTCTGCAAATAATTTCTCCTTAGTGTTCTTGACAATTCTAGGAGATGATGTTTCAGAGAAGGTGCCAACTTGCATCGAGGAAGAAATCCCCTCACCTAGATTTTGCTATAATTTTATTGGTGAGGAAACTGAAACTCAGGGAAGTCTCACCCTTTGTGTATTTCTTCTTTCTTCCCATTTCTGGCCTCTTTCTTCCTAGGTAGAAGGTGATCCAGTGGGAAGAATTTTGCACCCTGGATCACTGGAGACCTGGGTTTGAATCCTACCTCAGACACTTTTCACTGAGTGACCGTTAATGAATCTAAATGACTCATTGATTCATATCAATGAATCATTACGATGCCCGTTTCACAGAATCTCAGACCCTCACGAGCCATCTGGTCCAACCTATACCTGAGCAGTACTGTCCTGTATAACACCTGTAGCCATCTAGTCTCTACTTAAAACCTCCAGTGACTGGAAACTTCCAATCCTGGACAATTCTGATTATTCAGAAACTGGTCTTTAAGGTAAACAGAAATCTGCTTCACTACCACTTCTACCGTTAACTTCTCTGTCTGCCTTTAGGGATCACGCCCAACAAGGCTGATCTTTCTTCATGCTAGCTAGCCATTCAGATACTTGAAGATAGCTAGCATCTCAAGACTGCCCAGGAGTCTTTTCCCAGCACATCTTGAGTTTCATCAACATTTAATAAGTACCTACTATGTGTGAGGCCCCTGAGAGAGAGAGGAAGAGAGAGAGACAGAGATAGAGACAGGGACAGAGATAAACAGAGAGAGGAACACATCTGGTCAGAGAGTAGGGTTGAGGATTAGCGCAGGTTTCACCTTGAAGGTCACGACTGAGTAGAACATCGAAAAAGGCAAAGTGAGGAAAGACTCAGCATTCCAGACCCAGAGAACAGCCTGTGCCATTCATTACACAAAAGGTGGGAAGATAGAGTGCTAAACTTGGGGAATGGCTGGTCCACTTTTAATGACATGTAAAGTACATGAAGGGGTGGAATTTGAAGTAAGGCTAGAAAGCTAGTTTAGAACCACATAGTGTGTGTGGGGGTCTTTAAATGTTAAGTTGAACAGTCTATGTTTTATCAAAGGAGGTATGTGGAAACACTGAAGTTTATAAGCATGGCCAGACCTGTTTTGGTGACTGGAAGATAGGTTGAAGAGAGAGGAAACTAGAAAGAGTGAAACCACTTAGAGAAATATCGTCAGAGAAACACCGTTTAAAATGTAAATAAAGGCATTAAATATCTGATAGTTGACCTAAGGAGACACATAGAACCTATGTAAATA